CTTGTGCACTCTTTAATGTGTCCGACGGTGGCTCAGCGCTTTGCAAGAGGTATGTGGGATCTATCAGATTAAACTCTTGTTAGTTTGAACCATTCAACAGCCATTTTTACAAACACAGTTGCATGATTACAGAGTTGGATGGTTTACAAGTGTGCTTATTAGAGAGAAAATCTGTTTGGCGGCAAAAAATGGGATAATAGCAGCATCTCATTTTCCTATGAAAGACTTTTGGTCTGCTGTTACTGGAGCCATTCAGTTAGAAAATTTCTTTCTCAACACAGCTTCAAATTTTAACGGTGAAAAATCCGTTTCAGATACAGAGAATTCAAATCCAAGGCTGTCAGTTAGTGTGCTATTGTGTTATTAAGCCAATATAGAAATGAGACTATTAACAGTTTTATGAAAATTGACGCATTTCAGAGGATTACCTTCATTATTTCAGGAGATTAAAATGAAATGAAATGAAAGGTGCTTCCCCGTTAACCACTCTAAAAGGCTGTTTCTTTGAATGACAAAATGTCTTTAGAGAAAAACATGTTTTGATACTTAATTCTATTAAATCTTTTAGTTTTGGTTTGTTATACATTTTCTACAGTTTTTCTTATCAATTAAAAACAATTATATGCAACTATCTATAAGACATTACAACCTAACCATGATGCCTCTTTTACCATAAATAAAAACCTTCCATCTCTGCATGTCAATTGTTACTCTCACCATCTGCAAGAAACCTATAAAACATTTCACATCCTGAATCCTAAATCATGAGCCCCCGTACTGTCTGTCAGACACGACTGGCAGAGCAATGTCGCACTAAAGTAGCTGCAAATGACAGTCTCCAAAATGCATTTGAAAATAGAGCTCCAAGAGAGGAGCTCTGGGCCGGGCTGGCACTTCTATCATCACTATTATACCACACATGACATCTGTAGACATGCATTTCAAATTGATATATGTTTGTGTGTTCTGCGGTCTTAACTTGTGCCCTTGTGTAATAAGTAATCATTCCCTTCAAGGTTAACTAGTATACTCTATGTTAATGTCTTCACTTCATTGTATGTTGTGCATAAATCACCAGTGACCAACACATTATGGGTTATTGGCGGCACAGTGGCTGGGTGGATAGCACTCTAGCTTCTCAGTTACGAAGATCCTGGGTTCGAATCCCAGACGGAACAGGGCCTTTCTGAGTGGAGTTTGCATGTTCTCCCCGTGTCTGCGTAGGTTTCCTCCAGGTACTCCGGTTTCCCCAACCCCTAAAAACATGTACAAAAGGTCTGGCATGCGCATCCTGTACTGGCGACCCCGCTCCCATCTCTGTGTGGAGTGAGAGACAAATGCCAAAAAATAACTATTGTAAACCGCTTTGTGACTCTGGTCTGTGGATGGTATATAAATAAAGATTGCCGCATGTCCACATGTAGTGCGCAGGTAAACAGGGTCACAGACAATCCTGCTGCTAATCCAAAATCAACATATTTGAAATATAGATTACATCAAGTTTTATGAGAATGAATGAGTTCGAAAGATGTCAAAATGGAATCAACCCCATACCTTGACAACATAATTTAAAATGAAGGAAATTCTGCCCAGCCTATAATCAATGTGGTAAAAGTGTTTGCCGTTATTGTAAATGACTGCATTTTGATATCGATACGTTTTATTGTTTTCAGTCAATTTTTATGAATGATGAACAGTGAAGGAGAGGTCAGTCAATATTGGGGACAAGCACGGCTGCACGGTGTCTACAGTGGACTTCTCCCCTGCTACATCATGAAAACACCTACCCTTATAATTAATGGATGTTTGTTGCTCCCTCGTCTCCTTTGAGCTGTTACTCAGAGATTACAAGTTCCCTGGCTGACCAAACGACAATAGAAAAGAAAGCCATTGAGCTCATCCAAAAGCTTAGCGTCCGGAGTGCTCAGGTAGGATAAGACCAGCTTTTCCTGCAGTGATAGGCCTTACACAGGACTTACTGAGGACATATTTCAAAAACGTGAAAAAGGGCAATTTGGCTGATGTCACCTTGGGTTTATTGCACGGAGGGATGGCATTGTTAACACTCTATAGTATACACACATTACATTATAGCGTTGTACAAGGAAGTGTTTGCCTAATTGGACAAGCAAATAAGCAAGAAGCATGTGTGTTTCATGTCAAAATGCTAATTCAGAATTGCTTGCTTTTATACACATTTTATCTTTCCTTTCTCTCTCTTTGCCTGGAAAAAAAACAATCACGTCTCTCGGCATCAGGTTCTGCGTTATGATTATGTTACGTCTAGATTTCTTTGATAATAATGATGATACATTGAACTTATATAGCGCTTTTTTGGACACTCAAAGACGCCTTACAAAACATATGAAATAAACATAGAACAGCAAAGTTAAGGAAAGATAAGCCGAAAAAAGTGGGTTTTGAGAAGTGATTTAAAGTTCTGTAGTGAGTCAGAGTTACTGATGGATTGTGGGAGTGAGTTCCAGAGAGTGGGGGTAGCTGCAGCGAAGGCTCGGTCCCCCAAGGGTCGGTGTTTAGTCCTTTCTTTCTTCCCAGTGCAATCAAAACACTTACACATTCTACTTTTCCACTGACGCCAAGGCAGATTTCAAATAGTTATTTCAATCAATTGGCTTGCTTCTCCATGAAAGTCCTCTGTCCAAGTACAATATATATATTTTATAACCCATCATGAACCACCTGTACTAGTACTGCACGTATGCATCCTGTTTAATCTGCATTGTAGCACCGTCGTAAACCTCATGGCTTGTTGCTCCGTTTACCACTGCGCCAGGTGGACCGTAAACCAACCGCAATATTTATGTTGCAGCCCACAATAAACATGTTACACATCAGCAGAGCTACACTCATATTGTTGCGTGCTCCAGCATAATTTCTCTTTGTAATTGCTGGTAATAAATTGTACATGTAAATCAGGCTGGTGCTTCCGAGCCATAAGCTTCCATACCCGAGTCTGTTCTCCCGTGTGGTTCATTGATCTGACGAGCTTACGTGGAATTTACTTGATGGATAAAATGGTGGCAGCCTGATGCACACCTGTGGCGGCAGGTTTCCAGGAGATAAACCTGAAGAGCTGGCCACGTCACGCCCTTAACCAAAAAGTTACTAACAATTGTGAAATTCAGTTCAATTCAGTTCATTTTTGCATAGCCCTAAATCACAGAAGTAGTTATCAGAGGATGTTACAAAACTGTTTTGCCTACACTGATCAGAAAATCAAACACAAGAAATGCAATGATAAACAACACACAGAGCGATTGTGTCGAATGAAAGCAGACGTATACATTTCTTTCACTTTTTTTATCAAAAAAATAAAAAGTACTTCTGGACTAAAAGCCACTACTTTTTTTAATCCATTCTATGAGGCACATGTATGTATTTTTTGTTTTGTTGTTATAGAAACAGATCTTGCACAGCTCTATCAGCTGTCGACCTCCAGAGCTGATGACAGTGACACACATTCCTGTTTATGTGAACAGCAAAGAGCATGGCATGAATTGTCCTTGACAGTACAGTTCATGGCAGTTCATTATTTTGACTCCATTGAGTTTTAGTAGGAATTTTATTGGTGAAATAGATTGGATTTACCAGAGTTCTTTGAACATAATAATTGTAATCATGTTGCGATCAGTCTCTCAGTGTTGATTTGCTCTATTGATCACGGGTGAGTAGCTGTCCACCCGCTGTTGGTTAAGTGTTACAGTACAACAAGCTGAAAATCTGCGGCTCATAAACAAGAAAGGTCTTTTCTATGTGAAAAAAAAATATGTATTTACAGTTTATATACAGGTGCACTTAATGATCCTACAAGGACTGCAATCATACAGAATGATGATTCATGCTGCAGTCTTTTGGAGTATGACTCTACAGGCTTTGCACATGTTCATCTTTACAACAACAGCAAACTCTTTGATTTGACTCCAATAACGAGGATAAAAGTTTTAACAGTAGATGCCTCCAGATTGTCTTCATGGAGATGTGACTTTGTGTCTCAAGTCACTTTAAATGCTGTGATCTATTAAAAGACGACGATTTGATAAAAATGTGATTGGAGATTAGAACTTGGATGAGGTTTTGCTCTACTTTAAAGCACTAAGGTGGACATACAGAGAAAAGATAGTCATTTCACGTAAGGTTTTCTGAATGAGGATTATAAAATAATGATAATAATACATTTCAAAAGATGGCCCAATTCTGTGCACTAAAGGTTGCCTTACAAAAAGTACAAAGAATAAAAGTTTAAAGGGAAAAACCTGTTTCACATCAAAACTGAAGCATAACGTTCAAGAGTAGCTCACTCGTGCAATACTTTCCCTTTTGGCAGCTCTATACTTTCCAACGGACCTACCAAGTAGCATCCTTTAGCTGTTGACAGGGAGTTAATGAGCAGAGTAAATTTCAGGATGCTCTGTGTTTATGTGACAGTAATAGACAGAGGCATATTTTCACCTGGAATTATCTTTGCTTTCAGAAGACGCACCATGACAACCAGGAGAAACACAAAGGAATGCTCTCTTGTGTTGTTTGGGAGGTGAACTTCCGACCTCATTTGAAGTATTTAAGGGCTTCCTGGCAGGTTGCAATGGTAGTGATAGAGACTGATGTCTGAAATTTACCTAGAATTGCATCTTATTTTTCATTTTTTTCTAGAAAGAGCTCATAATGTAGGCCACCATGAAAAGTATAATGCATTAAAAAAAACACAGGATGAAATACAATATTTATATATATTTTTTTTTAAAGGTACTTTTAAAATTGCACTTCCTGTTTGTTGGTACAGTAACAGTCACCTCAAAGCAGATTAGAAAATCAAACACTTAAGATGAGGATCATAACATAACATCCACAGTAATTCTTTTTTGCATTGTTAGGCTGCATGAGTAATTGCATATTCTTAGACGCAATTAGCAAATTGCAAAGACGGCGATTATTGAAGTTCTTTCGTGCAGCCGTATTGGATAGACTTACCTGATTTCCAAATGGTGTCTGGACTGGAGGCAAAAGCAGTGCTCTGGCTGCCAAGCGTAGAGCAGGTATACAGAAACAGGCCGGTTCGTTCTGGTCTTGGTTGACTGCACAAATGTCATAAAGCTAAATGTATCGGCTCTGGGAGGAGGCGAGGGTTTGGTCATTACTTGAAAGCCGGCCAGTGTAATGTGGACACAGCAGTATGCTCAAGTAACTGTATCCAAATTCAGCTGTTTACATAGCACAGCTCATTAAGATCTGTGTGTGTATGATCCGCCCGCTGCACAGTCCCTTGGCCAGCGAGAAGCAGGGGAAAAACTGTGTACGAGAGATTTTATTTATCTTTATTATTCATAAATTTCCAGTCAGCTCTTGTTTCTTACCTTACGCTCCCAAGCACCGCCACCAAATTAGTCTGGAAACATGCACAATTTCACGTTGTCTACAGGCAGGTTTTCATAGTGTACCTCTGCTTTCACGGTGCAGTTGTGTGCCGCGGTAGAGCCTTACATGAAAGAGCCACTCATGCATAATGTTGGGATATTCCTCCACCCACAGTTACTCTGTCAATAGCAATATGTCTTACCGTTTCCTGTCGGGGCTGTAGAGGGAGGTTTCAGGCACCAATAAGTGATCTAAACTCTGGAAATTACTGAAAACATTATGAAAACAACAAATAACTCTCTGTTTCTCTGCATGGCAGTTTGATTGTACATAATTCAATTTTGGCGTCTCTCTTGCTGAACAAGTTTGCTGAACACATTCCAAATTATGTTGCATTAGGGGACAATGTGAGTCAGTAAATTCAAATTAAATTCCTGTCTCTCAAGGCATTGTGGTAAAACTTAAACTTTAGTTTCGGTACACACTACTCAGACTTGGGAGACTGGTCCTTTACGCCTCCCCAAAGAGTTTTTAATTACACTGGTGTTTGAAAGAAAGTACAATTCTGAGAACGAACTAAAAGTATGCAGCCTTGAAGAAGCCTTAACATTTCCAAATGATCAATAAATCGGAACGGGAATTATTCTCAAATTACTTCTGCACAACTGTGTGTAAAATTGTACATGCATTCTGCTCGTAGCCCGTAATACCAATGTGTGTCCGTGTGGAATTGCCTGCAGCATTGCCCTGGTAAATATGGATGCTGTGAGATTGTATCATTAAAAGGAGTTGACAGCCTCGGCTCAGTGTGGTCCGACGCGATGGCTTTCAATCCACGTGTGGGAACTCATGTCCTGCTCTGCCGCTCAATCAGCCTCAAGTCTGACCATTGTGCATCTATACCTCCACAGCACGCATCGCACATGTGTGTTCAAAGTATCTGAGGTCAAACTACTATTGCCCTGCACAAACCTGAGCCACATTCAATCAAAGATAAAGAATATTTGATCAGTAATCTATCCATGTTGACTCGACCCCGGCCCACCCACAAGAGGGCTGACTAATGCGCAGCTCGGTAAAAATGTGTGTGTGGCCGTTCAATTACATTTTCTGTTCTTGTGTGTCCAGCGCTGTATCCCTCGGCATACAGAATAAAGAGGGGGACGTATTCACCGCTCAAGTCGACATTTCAGCGCTCTCAGAAGGACGTAGATCTCCTGTTTGAGGTCAGATTAGATTTGCATTGATTCCACTTCTTTTGTGATAGATCTTTGTTATATGATGAGAGCAGGAAGCCTGTTATGAAGCGAATATGCATGGGCTGCAGAAAGCAAATTAGTCTTTCCTGGTTTTCTGTCACTTGTATCAAAATTAATTAACTGTGAATACAATGAAAAAATAGAAGCCATACAGCAAACTGTCTCACTTTGAAAGTGCCAGTTTGTGACATATACACTATACTTCAGCTGTTCTACTAATAATCATATTATTAATAAAGCACAATTCATTCAGTGTAACCCAAAGTGCTGCACAAGCACTTAAAAAACAGACAATAAAACATAAAAACAGTGCATATACATATAAAACATAAATACATACATAATTATAAAACATGATTTTAACTAATTAAAGAAAGAGTTAAAAAGATAAAACTCAAAACAATTTTAAAAATATGTGCTTCAAATCAGTCATATGCATTGCTAAATAAAACCATTTTCAGCCTGGACATAAACATTACCAAGGACGAGGCTTGTCAAACAAACTCATGGAGACGTTTCCCGATTCTGGCCGCATAAAGTGCCAACATGTCTAGGATGTACTTCAGTGTGAGGCCATGGAGAGACTTACACACAAGCAAAGCTTGAGAATCTTTAGGAGTTATATAAAAAAAAGACATTTTAAAATGTTCTTTTAAGATTATGGAATTTGTTTAAGAATATGATATTTTAAGAGATCATATTATTTCAAGAACATACGTTTATTGTAACATAATATTTGTTTAGTACATAGTTATGGCTTTTGACTAATATATGAACTTATTTTGTGTAGTAGAAGAGGGCACCTCTTTAATAGCCTTGTGTTCTCTTAGCTATCCTAGTTACTAGTATGAATCTGCATATAAATATAAATATAGCATTGACGTATATATATAATATATATTTACGTCAATGCTTCCCTGTAACACCGTCCCTCCAGGTCCTGTTGGCTGGGACTCAAATTGACAGCGGAGAGCATCGCTTGCTGGTCCCTGATGAGGAGCTGGCATCCCTCAGACAGGTGAAGTATCTGGAGGTGATCTGTGAGGATGTTCTGCCCAAGACCCTGTCAGAGGTGAGGCGTCTGGTGGACCAGCTCTCCCGCCGGAGTGCCCCCCTGCACTGGGACGACCACCAGAGGACAGTGCTCACGCTGGTCTACATCAGTCAGACTGTGGCTCGTCTGCACTCTGAGCACTCCCAACAGGCCTGGGGGGATGTGCTCATGCAGCTATTTAATGCTCTCCACAAGGACCTCAACTTCAACTGAAAAGTCACACTTTTAGCAACTAATAAAATCAAGTCATATCGGCTTAATCACATGTAAAGCTCTAACGTTAAAGGAACACTATAGTTCCTTCTATGCAGATAGTGTTTTGAGATGTTCAGTCAATTCCATATAAAGTATAAGGAGTGGACAAAGCGGGCTTGAACAGGCTCCAAGAGCGGGAATCTGGAGTCAGATGACGCAGGTAGCGACAGCCTAGCAACCAAAGAGCCAATCAGGAATGCCGCTGGTCCGTTCTTGCATGCTCGCTATTTGAAGCCGAATTCAAGGACAGAAGGCACTCAGTTGGTCAGTTGTTAGTGCTCATACCTGTTTTTATAAAGACATTATCAAAATAAAAACATGACAAACATGCAGAGTGTGAAGGCCAAAGTGATGTTTACTTTTCATGAACCACCAGAAAAGTGTAGGTATGTCTCTAAGTCTCTCAAGTCACTAATTTGAAACAGTTCTGTGAAAAACTTTCAGTCAATAAAGTGTTTTTTTTATTTTTAATGGGTCATTTTTATTGGAGCACCTGGAGTCATTTTATTTACAGTTGATCGAAATTTTAGCACAATAACATATGGCATCAATTGTTTCCTTTAATGGTGTTCAAAATAAATAAACACATTATTTTGACTTTCCCTGATGTGCCGTACCCGCTCCCCATGTGGACAAAGCTCTGTACCCTGTGACTGTACCCTGTGACTGAGAGGCTGAGCAGCCACAGGCCAATATAGGGTTTTTGTTTCATGCGTCTAAAAGCACAAAACATTTTAAAACATTACACCGGATTTTAAAGCATCATACAAAAAGTAAAAATGTATTGCAAAAATTAAGTTTTTAATAGCGCTTTCTACGGGATTGGCAATTACGTATCAATTCCTGGTCGGAAAAAAAAAAAAAAATCTTCTTGCTTTGCGCCTGCAGCCTTCCTTCAACAATGTCACAGCTGATTATCATAAACAGACACTACATTCATGATTAAAATATTGTTGAGTATAAATTATGAATATGTCTCATACATTAACGTATATCATTCATGAGGACCTGTCACCTTTAATTTGGTCAGGTTAATGAAGAGTTAAATCTGGAGTTATACTTTGGCTTATGTAAACACAAGTGAAACTCCAACAAACTCTGTGCCGTGTGTTTGATTTCAGTAATTTCACCATTATCTCCAGTGCTGTAAGAAGTTCTGCTCATTTGTAGAGCTGTGTACTAAAGACTGTGTGTACATCAATATGGCTGATTGCTCATTTAGATAAACTATAACGTGTCTGAAAGATTACCACTTTCCCAGTCGACTCAGAGAGAGCTCTTTTTGTATAATGAGCTGAAAAGTAATTTCCTGGAAGATCTGAATGTATATCAAAGCTGTTGTTTTTGATTTTTCTACCTTTATCTTCAAGAGAAAGTCAGTAGATTGGCTGAGATGTCTTTCTATGCCCTGGTTTTACATGCTCTTACTGTGATATAAAGCATTGACTGTGTGTAAATCAGCGAGTTTCTTCCTCCGCATGGCCAGTCCCCGCTCTGACAGCAGACAGGACATGCTGATGAGTGTGGAGGAAAGCCCACCATGACAGCTGTCGCTTTGGGCAAAACTTTAACACTAATAATAATGAGATTGTACCATCTTTAAGCTTTGGAGATGTTTTCAAAGACTTGACATAAATACTGAACTGTATTTCAATCATATGTGACTTATTAATGATTATTACATTAGTTCAATACATGCGTTTTTTTGTTTTGTTTTTTCTACTTGTGTTCTCCTCAATCGTGGGTGTCACATGCCTCAGGTTCACATTTTCTGATGGGTGACAATGAATCCTTCAGCTGTGGTCGAAAATACTACTCCTAATGAATAATATACAAATAATCCATACGTTTATTTTGCCTGCCCGGTCATAATTTAAGAAGAGTCTTTTGTTCACTTTTAGATGCACTCAACCATGGGGATCCAACCTTTTTCCTTAGATAGCTACAATGGTACAACCAGCTTTTGTCTTTTTTCCAGCCCATCCATCCATCCATTTTCTTCCCCTTAATCCATTTCTGGGTTGGGGGGGTGGCAGTACTGAGCTGCTCCCAGTACACTTAGCACCAGCCCCTCACTGATCCTCCTGCAGGTGGTGAGTCCACAGGAGCTGCGATCTTTCAGCGGGAACTTCAGGCAAAGTGGGGTTAAGTGTCTTGCCCAAGGACACAACGACAGCAGACATCAGTGGGAGACATGAAGTAGATCTTACGGTGGGCTTGAACCCACAACCTTCAGGCTCAAAAGCCAATTCTCTACCAACTGAGCCACTGTTGCCCCCTTTTTTCCAGCCCTGATATAGTACCTAAGTTCTTTTGGCAAATATTGTTTTAAGACCATGTTCTCTAATAAATTTTTTCTCATCAAAGAATCTATCAATCATTTTCATATTTACTTACTGTACTTTACTTTATTATGAAATTATTCTTTAGGGAGCTACTTTGAAGAGGGTGGCGAGCTACTGGTAGCTCCTGAGCTACAGGTTGGACACCCATGCACTAAATACTGGAGCACACTCGTGCAACTTTTAAACAATAGAAGAGGCAGAGAGCTACTCCTTTTTGCAGTCGTAGTTCAAATCTATGTAATAATTACGTCAAACCATGGACAACACAATTCGAATATACAGTACCATAGTACTTATAAAACATATGCAATGACTCAAAATATATTCATTCAAGATCATGTGTTCAATTCTAAATCCTTTGGAGAGCTACCTGAAAGGGGGTGGCGAGCTACTGGTAGCTGGTTGGAGACCCCTGATTTACAGGGATCTTAAAGGGTGAAAGCTGGTGCTCTTTTCAATCTCCCTCTGAGAACAGCGAGAAGGTGCAGTTCCAGAATATGAGGTATAAGGCACAAGCACACAGGAAATACACCGAGGTGCCAGATTGTGACGGGCTTTATAGGAACACACAGTATGTCAATGTCAATGTAAACATTTATTTGTATTGCACATACAACAATTCCAGCTGCCCAAAGTGCTTCACATGCACAAAGGATAAAATAAAACAGAATTAGATGTAAAAGACAGTATGAACGATATATATATTTGAATCCATTGTAGATCTAATTTTATGGGAGAACCTAAACTAAGCCGTGAGGCCTTTGTGGCCATTGAGCAATTCACAATTATTGACAAAGTATGGCAACAGAATCTGCCAGACTCCTTCATTGGTTTCTTGGTTGCACTTGCAGCATGTTTGTGTGGGTGCTATTAGTATGCATTGCTGCTTTTACTCGCAGAACATTACACAGAGGCAATAAAAGTCCCAAGCGTGTTCACAGATGTCGTGCATGCTACCATCTTTATGCCACCTGACTTTCACAATATGTTAAAGCAATTGACAGATCAAAAAGTACTCCTCGGCTCTAACTCCTTGGATATGCCACCACAGTAACTCAGTTTTAATTGCTCAGTTTTCCTTCCTCAGTATCAGTTGTTTATTCTTATCCTCAGCTCACTTGGTGTGACTTTGGCACTTAAGAAAAATGAGCCTTTTACCTGGGTTATTGACTTTCATTGCACAACGCTTGGAAAATGGTTGCATGATATTTTATTCATTCAGCGTTTCCAGGTAAGTGCGAGGAGAGACGAATACTGTGGTGTTGGAAGAGCATCACCAAGTGGAGAAAGAAAGAACTGCACGAGACAAGACCTGGAAAGAGAAACCATCAAAATGATCCTGATTTTTGATTGTCTGATTAGTTTTATTGTTATACAAATTTTCTTCATCATCTAGTTTTGACATAATCAAAAGTTTGAGAAAGAATTGTCACCAATAGACAACTTCAAAATAATAGCTACCAGAAAAATGAGATGCAATGTGGTAGAAACGCCATGATTTAAAACATAACAATATATTATAATTATTCTATAACGTGGCCAACTATATTACAATTTTTGATTATCCAAGTCAAGTTTACATTACCAAAGAATAGATTTTTAGGAGTTTGAGGACTAGGCTAAATTTTGCATTGAAATGAGCTACTGCGACTTGCATAATCATGATTTTGGATGAACTTATGGGAATTGCTACAGTCACTAGATGGCAGCCTTTTCCAACATGATTTACCCTTTTGTGGGGTCACCTTAAGTTTTCTCTAAAGCAGCAAATCTACAAGCCGCAAACGAATGCTGAGCCAGTATGTTGGATGCATTGAGTCACATAAGCGCATAAAGCAAAGTGGAATTTCAAATGGCATTGGAAAACGGAGCGTGTTTGTCTACAGCTTAATTAGACCATACACATCCTGTCAGAATAGAAGAATGTCTTTTAAAAAGGCGACGAAAAGGCCTGCTGCTTCTCCTCAAGCTCACAGCTGCATATGTTTTCTGCACAGCTGTCAGACATATTTCTAAGCCTCAAATCTCTCCGTGCACGACAACCCGGGGCCAATGAGGCGTAGCACTGCATCACAATTCAATAATACCATTGTAGCTTCACTAATAATAAAATGCAGTAATGAACTCTCTGAAGATGGAGGCGATATACTTGGTCTGCCACTCAGATATAACTAGCTGTTTTCCATTGAGATTAATGCTGTTTCAGTTAAGATATTGCAGTGCTTCTGTCTGTCTTTGATGTTTGGAAAGAAATAGTAAATTAGAAAACAAAGAGGAATACTACACTGCAAAATATGAAAGAATATGAGGTAATAATTGCTTAAATCAAGTGGTTTGTATCATTGGCAAATCTTTTCTTAAAACAAGATTTCAAGAACTGATGCATTTTTTCTCCAACTAAGGGAGACATTTCTTGTAATTCTTTAAATTCTTTAGTCTCATCGGCAAATCTTTTTTCAAGGCAGTCAAAATGTCAAAGGTTCAAATTAAGATACATTTTGCCAAATTTCAGCGATATTGGACTTTTTTTTCATCACATGTATGTTTAGTTTTATGTTTCCCCCCACAAGACCTACTCCAACTGCTGTCCTTGGGCAAGACACTTCACTCGGT